CATGGTAAATACAATGCACGTGATGTGTATTAGGCAGAACGTTTGCAATTGCAGCATTAATGGCAAGATCATTGTCCGTTATTATTGTTAAAGGTATAACACCTGTATTTTTAATTAAACTTTGTAGAACCCATTCGTAGCTTTCTGTAGTTTTATCATTTATAAAGGCTTGCCCTATTAAACGAGACCGATTGTTGTTGTCTACTATTACAAAAAAACCCAGTGCTATCTTAAACCGGTTGGTCAAATAAGTGTTGTCATGTTGAATAACGTCACGGTATTGTACATATAAATCATATTGTTCAGGTGACACCCAGAATAATAATGTAAGTGAATTATTAGCAGAGTCAACCTTCCAATTTACAATCCACCTATTGTCTTTAGCTTTACAATCAAGGAGATTATTAATTAAGGTGGCTGTCTCACATTCGACGTAATTTTGCCATTTGAAGGTTTGGATAATATTTGAAAGATCTTGTGGTAAAAAAAAAGCATCAGGATACTGCTTAGTTAGCATTTGATATTGAGTTCTCATATTGATATTCCCTATCTCAGTCCAAAATCTAATATCCTTTAACATATCTTCAGAAAACGTCCGGTATTTCAAAGCAAATTTATTGGTATCATTTTTTATTGGGTGATCATTGTGATTCAAACAAACTGAAGTGATCTTTAATTCTCCTGTTGTTTTAGGACAACTAGCACGAACTAGCCAGTGACATCCCATACATTTGCTTCATGTCTGCCGTTGATTTTCAGCAATACTAGTCTTGTTTGTACTACTATGACCTTGATATTCACAAACGTATCGACGGTTTCGACAAATTCTATCTTTATATTCTGATCCACGTATGATGCTTACAAAATTCTGTGATTTTGTATAGGAAGATATGAAGTAGTCAAGTTCGTCCCAACTACCAAACATTTGACCAATTACCGGAGCTTTCATTGTATTAGTCAAGTCCTTATTACTTATTAATCAAAGTTTAATTAGAGAAATATTTGAAAAAAGCTTTGAATAGAAAGCAGATTCAAAAGCAAAAGCAAGTTGACTTACCATCCAGTAGTATGTGAAGATTGCACTTCAATAGGTTTAAT